GACCCTACATCAATTGTGATGTTTATTCTCCCGTAATGAATTCTATTATGTTTCGTTACCTGATCAATATGGCAACTACAAAGCATATTAAGATGCATTTAATGGACGTTGTGACTGCAGTGTCACTTGATGATAATATTTATATCCCAAAATATCCCTAAAGGATTCTCTATAACTTGAATGCCTAATAATGTAAAGTCTGTTGGATATAAAAGGGTATTTGTCCGAAAATGAAATAAGAAAATTAGGTTGCGAAATATAAAGTCTGACTTATTACCCAAAGATTCTCTCAGAGTCTCGAGATTGATTATGATGAGACATATTCACCTATGACGATATAATTACAATTTGTTTTTCTAATTTTCCTAATAGTCTTTGAAAGATTGGAAACACGTATTATGAACGTTTTGACAACATATATATGGCTCATTTGATGTGATATTTATCCCAGAAGGATTTCCTATATTACATGTGGAAAAGAATGAAAGTCACATGTTTAGCATCGAGCTCAAAGATCATTATATGTCTCGACCTGCAGATCGAGCATCTTCCAAAATGGTTATTTCACCAATGTTAATATATAATTGACCCAATGATGGCTCATTCAATAAAAGTGAATACAGATCCATTTAGACCAAAAACAAATTAATGAGAAAATATTAGGACCTGAAGTTCCTAATCTTAAGCATCACAAGGAACTCTACTATACTCTGCAAATTGCAATCAGACTTGATATTACATTTGCAGTTAAAGTTCTAGCTAGACATAATGTTTCTCCTTATGACATTAGAATAAAGTTAATAATATTTTTGAGGATATATCCATGATATGAAGATTTTACATTGGTGAAATACTTTGGTGTTGACTATATAATCACAAAGTAGAGATGCATTTCTCTGTGGAAGCACTACAATGTTATGGAAGGCTGTAAAGTTAAGCTTAGTCGCTACTTCCTTGATAGATTATTTTCATCGGGACGAGCGAATTAATTATGATTATCCCTAAAGGATGGAGCCCTGAAGCGTATGACATGTACTCTTTTTCCTTCGCTAGTTTTTCCCACTGATATTAGCACAACGATATCCATATGAAATGTTATAAATGGACATAATTACAATATACTATGGGAGAAGATTACGAGATTGCTATTATTGAAAGTTGTAACTGTTACTCTATTGCTTTAGCTCCAATAGTAGCCATACGACTTAATTGAGGGGGAGTTATACGCACTGTACTCTTTTTCCCTTTGCCAAATTTTTATCCCATTGGATTTTTCTTGGAAAGGTTTTTAATGAGGCAGTCTATGTTAGCATATAACAAAAGTTTGTATATTAATATTATATACTCTTTTTCTTTCACTAAGCTTTTATTCCACTGGGTTTTTCTTAGCAAGGTTTTAATGAGGCATATTCAAAGTGTTTAGTCATCCAAAGGGGAGTGTTGTAAAATATAGATGACTTAAATCATACTTAAATCATGTTATCATTATGTTACCGTTGGCAGTAACGGTACAATTATGGATGACGTTACCGTTGGCAGTAACAGTGTAATTATCTCTCATTCATGATTATATAACCACTGCACTAATGGAACATTACTCCCTTATTCATGTTGTAATCTTATATATTGACATTGTTTGTATTGGAATATATAGTTGAATGAGAATGCCCTACTTCTTGTTGTCTTCTCTCTTGCATTTCTCCATTTATTTTATAACATTGCGGAAGTAATTTCTTATATGCAATCCACAACCTCAATCAATCACTTATAGATAATTCTGTTGAGATTTTCTTTTATGGGTTCATTTTTTCTGCAATTACTGCAGATAAGTTATATGCAGTAAGTCCAATACGACATCGTTTTGGAACAGAAATCATGGTACTTTGTAATTTTAATTTATTTCAGGATTATTATAGTCTTTATAATTATAATTTTCTAATCTTTCAATCCAAAACGACGTCGTTTTGGAAGTAAATGCAGAAATATTTTTCTGTTCTTTTATTTATAAAATCGGTCAAGTTGTTAGTTATGATTATTTTATATGAGGACGGTTATACTTACCACCAGGTAAGTTTACCACTAGGTAAGTTTACCACCCTTACAACTAATCTAATCACCGTTAGATTGGAATTAAATCTAATGGTTCATAATTACCCCTTATAATCCTAATTTTCATTCTCTCATCCTCTCTTTGTCTCTTTCTAGGTTTGAGATCTGCACATCTCTTTCTCTCTCATCCTCTCTTTGTCTCTCTCTAAGTTTGAGATCTGCACATCTCTTCCTCCAAAAAAAAAATTTTCAAGTTTCTGTTCCTTTAGTCCATCTGTGTTTGTGAGTTAGCGCTCGCCCATATATAATTTCTGTGGAACTAAAGTTGTTTTGTTTATCAGCAGGTTCAAGATAATCCTGATTCTAATCATGATCAAGATCCATTGGAAGAATTGTTTATAAAGTAATGAAATTTTAATAACGAATGAATTACTAAAGTAATGGAAGAATTGTATATAAAAAAAAATTAGGAAGAATTGCGAATCAACGTACATACAAATTATGGCTTTTTGATTCCGTTAAGAAATTAGTTGTAAGGGTGGTAAACTTACCTGGTGTTAAGTATAACCATCTTCATTTTATATTTATCCATAATTATAAGTTGTTAGTTCCTGTTGAGATTTTATATATTCTCTAATTAAGAAGAGAGTGAAAATAGAATATAAAAAATATTAATTATGTACCAAAACGTTTCATTTAATATTTAATTATAGGTGTACTACGATAATCGGATAATGAATGAAAAATTTTGAACTCGTAGACTACATTTTATATTTATCCATAATTATAAGTTGTTAGTTTCTGTTGAGATTTTATAAATTCTCTAATTAAGAAGAGAGAAAAAATAGAATATAAAAAATATTAATTATGTACCAAAACGTTTCATTTAATATTTAATTATAGGTGTACTACGATAATCGGATAATGAATGAAAAATTTTGAACTCGTAGACTCGTAGTAATTACATTATATAATAATAAGATAAGAGAAAAATATTTTTGCAGTTAATGCAGATAAGTTATCTGCATTTACTTCCAAAACGACGTCGTTTTGGGATTAAAAGATTAGAAAATTATAATTATAAAAACTATAATAACTTTGAAACAAATTAAAATTACAAAAACACCATGATTTTCGTCACAAAACGACGTCATATTGAACTTACTGCATATTATTTATCCGCAGTAACGGCAGAAAAAACGAAAATGATTAGGAATGAGTGACTATATTTTGAAATAGAATAACGAACGCATTAATAACCAAAATATATATATATATATATATATATATATATATATATATATATTTGATTTTTCTGCCGAGAAAAATGGGATAGTTGTTAGTATTTCATCTCGTAAAATTGATATATATTATAGGATACTATTTGGATTAGATTAGATTACAGCATTGAATAACTTTTTATCCAAGTTAGCGTAAGTTTAGAAGGCTTATCGGTAAAAAAATCTATATGTTCGGGTTTGATTCAAGGGTTATGGTTCTCAACCAAATCGTAAGCAGAGACCATTTTTCTCGAGAAGATAACAAAAAAGGAGTTGAAGGGTGAGTACAAGAACCGCAAGGAATCATCATCATGGGCATGGCCAAAGTGTTTTCATCACGGTAGTGGAAGAATTACTTGTATGGGAAATTCACAACAATGCAATAATGTTGTTGACTTGTCTAATCTGTTCATTGGGCACAAGTTTTCTCAAGGTGCTTATAGTAAGCTTCATCATGGTATATATAATGAGGAACCTGTTGCTGTTAAAATTGTGAGGGTACCTGATGATGAAGAAATGGGAACCTTGGCTTCAAATTTAGAGACGCAGTTCATCAGAGAAGTCACGTTTTTATCTCATCTCCACCATCAAAATGTTACAAAGTTCATAGGAGCATGCAAAGAAACAAATGTTTATTGCATTCTCACGGAGTATCTAAACAACGGTTCTTTAAGGGCATATTTGAACAAGTTAGAGTCCAAACCAATTTGTGTGAAGGAGGTAATAGGTTTTGCTTTGGATATTGCACGTGGAATGGAATATATACATGCACAAGGTATCATTCATAGAGACCTTAAACCGGAGAATGTGCTTGTTGATGGGGACTTACATCTCAAAATTGCTGATTTTGGGGCTTCATGTGAGGCTTCAAAGTGTGACAACTCATTGAGTGGTACCTACCGTTGGATGGCACCAGAGATGATCAAAGGCAAACAGTATGGGAGAAAGTTTGATGTCTACAGTTTTGGGCTTATTCTTTGGGAAATGGTTAGTGGGAAAATGCCATTTGAGGATATGACTCCAATACAGGTTGCTATTGCTGTGGAAAATAAGGATTTAAGGCCTGTTATTCCTTCAACATGTCCACCTGTTATCAGAGATTTGATTCAGCAATGTTGGGCCTTGAAACCAAAAAAGAGGCCCGAATTTTGCAAGATTGTTCAGGTTTTGGAGCAGTTTGATCAATCTTTACTTGGCATTGATGGTGCCCTGAGTATGATGCAGAATCCTTGTAGTCGGGATAGTCATCATCGTCTTAAGATCTTCATGTGCATTGAATAGTGACCTAGCTTTTGTAATTTTTCCATTGTAATTTGTTATTAGAAATGAAGAGTATTTGTCATTATGTCAATATATTTCATTCTTTCTATTCATATATTTTGGATTGTGGGGATGGGGTTCAATTTATTTAACAGCTCATGTATTATGGTATATTTATGAAAAGTAAAATGGAGAAAAGGAATGGATACAGTAATTGAAGGTTAAGCTAATGGATGGCTTTCTAGGCATTAAAACGCAACACAATAAGGCCAATAACAAACAACCTCTTTGCGAAAAAGTAAGGATAAGTTTGAGAGCTCATTCATGTGTATATATATATATATATATATATATATATATATATATATATATATATATTGGTATCTCTTTGTTTACATGTGTGTCAATCAATTGTAAAGAAGAACCTTTTGAGGCCAACAATTATCATAGATATTCATGAAATTATGGTTTAAGAGGAAAAAAAAATGAGCATGTGAGAACAAAGGGCATCACACATACATACAGGTGCAATATATACAGACTTTCATTTTCTTTTCTCCCAATAAGAAGAATCAATGTGGACAGGGTAGAGGTCGACAGCTGATGAAGATGAAGCAGTCCATGGTCCATCATCAATTGATAAATTCTGACTTCCTGTTTGTGTCTCACTAAACTTATTTTCTTCTATCTCATAGTAATACTGTCTCATTGCCTCCAACTTCATTTCATCCATTACCTCACTTGAATCTGAAACAAATTCTGGAACCACTGTTCTGCCTTCAAGCATGCTTAGAACTGAAGACATGGTTGGCCTAAGGTTTGAAGTGGAATTGGTGCATAGGAGAGCCAATTTGATCATCACCATTGCCTCCTCTACATTGATATCTGAACCTAACCTTTTATCAACTAGTTCCATTAGGTTACCTTTCTCTTTCAACAGATGTGCCTGTTGAAACAACATGCAGAAATAAGTTTGATTGGAGAGTCATTTACAAGTGAAATCCCTACATCTAAGCAAGACGTGTATAAAACTATAGGTTCATAGTTTGAAGATTCTTTAGAGTAGGAGGACATTGGTCTTATTAGTATGTGCAGAAATTAGGATTTCAGAAAACAAGACTATGATGTCAGTGTAATGTCTTCATGTTGGTAAATTTTATGAAAATCACGTAAAATGTGATGCAATATTACACTTTCTAGAGTGATAGTAGATGAAAATTGAATGACCCTACTTGTTTAACACAATACACATTGTTTAATCAAGTAGAGTGTATCATTAACAAATGGAGAACGTGAGAATAAAAGTTACCCAATCAAGAATATACAATGCTCCTTCCTTTGACCGGTGCATGGTGTTATTCTTTCCACTAACAATTTCCAATGCAACAATTCCAAAACTATAGACATCAGCTTTGTCAGTCAAATAACCGTGCATTGCATATTCAGGAGCCATATATCCACTGCATCATTGAAACACATCATCACATCAACTTCAAATACATAATTCTCAGACCTTTATATTTGATATATCTCTTCTGGAAAATACTTTCAATTAAATTCAGACAACACATAAAACATGAGAACTTAAACTCACTAGGTCCCAGCTATTCGGGTGCTTATGTGAGTATTGTCCTCCTCATCAAGCTTGGCCAAACCAAAATCAGATATCTTTGGGTTCAAGTCTTTGTCTAGCAACACATTAGTGGCCTTAATGTCCCTGTGAACAATTTTCAATCTTGATTCTTCATGCAGGAAAGCTAAGCCTCTAGCAATACCAACGCAAATCTTGTGTCTTGTTGGCCAATTCAATTTTAAACGGGATTCTTCACGGCCTTTGCGAATTTGACAGAAATTAGACAGCAATATCATTTAGTCATATTAAGACTGGAATGTCACATAAAAAGAAACCAAATTTGAGCATATAAGGCAATTATTTACCAAATAAAGCCCGTGCAAGGCTATTGTTTTCCATATACTCATATACCAGCAACAACTGATCTCCCTCAACACAACAGCCATAAAGTTTAACAAGACAAGGGTGTTGCAAAGCTGAGATCATGCCTATCTCATTTACAAACTCACGGTTTCCTTGTTTCGATTTTGCTGAAAGTTGCTTGACTGCTATTATTGTGCCATCCGGCAAAGTGCCCTGCATTTAGTAACGGTATACAAATTTTGTGATTTTTTTTTATAAGTAATTTAACATTTAATATCCACAATTACAATAGATCACTCACAATAATCATGAATTATTATATTATATCTTGAAGGATACCTTATAAACAGGACCAAAGCCTCCTTCCCCAATCTTATTGGAAATGTCAAAGTTATTTGTTGCTGCTTTGATTTGCCTTAAGGTAAATAAACCAGTTTGTAGATCTAAATCCTTTAGCTCTGCTAATTGAAGGAAACCAAAATGAGATATCTATCATCCAGAGAAAATCCCATATCATTAAAACTATTGGAAAAGTAGACATTAATTTTTTTATATAAAAATAGACATTATTTAATTTCCCCAAAAAGAGAAAACATAGTAGTATTTTAGTCACCATTGTTTTTTTTTTTTTTTTTTTATAACAAGTCACCATTGTTTTAATTATACTAAGTGGGAATCAAATCTTTTATCTTCTTTACTTATTCCCTAGCTTCTTTATCCTATAGTTAGATGATGCCAATAAATAATTTTTTCAAAAACTGAATTATCAAAATTTATTTGAAAAGATAGGCAATGAGTAAGAAACTGAAACAGATTTCACCATCCATAGTCAGTTACTTTATTCTATAGAATTAGGAAGATAATGAACAAGCATCAAAAGTCAAGTATCTGAAGGAAGAAAAATTTTGGTTAGGAAAAAAAGGTCCACCAAAGTATTATAGCAACAAAATTCACCTTTCGCTAATGATTTTTTTTTTCCTATACAACCTCTCCACCACAGTACAATTAGGATGACAACAAAAACTGCTGCAGCCACTATTCCAACCACAGCCCCTGCAGATATGCTACTACCTGTAGAGTCTGCTTCATTATTGCACAAGAGCCATACATGTCAGATTATATCATCATGGAAACAACAGAAGAATTAAAACAGAGAAGTCAACCCACCACGACTGACAGATATAGCTGATATAAGAGGTCCATATACTGATTTATATGGGATAGCAGTTGTCCCCTTCCCAGCCCAATAGAATCGGATCTCTAAAGCATTATTACCCACATAAGCAGGAAATGGTAATATTATTTCCTTTCCAACTCCTTGTGCTTTATTTGCAATGTTGAAATCCTTCAGTACCAGCTCTCCCTGCAATACTCCAAACTCAGACCTAAATGGCTTTTGATATTTACAGTTTTAAACATGCAGTCTAGGATCTGATGAAAATGTTGTAGTAACTGATTCTACAGAAATGAAAAGTACTGTATGCAGCCAATTCTACATATATTATGTGACATTCTATATATTTAAATGTAGCAAATTAAACTAAATAAAAAATGCTTACGATAAGGATCTAAACAATGGTTGACGATGACCCAAAAAGGAAAACTATTGACCCCAGTTGGTTAAAACTTAAAAGCCTTTATTCTCTATCAAACATTCTGTAGATAAAATTAGAAAAATAATTAAACCATGCACCTGTATGTAGACATCAAATATACGCCTCCCTAAGCTGCTATATGTGTTATCATCAGTGAACATTATCTCCGCAAAGTGGAGCTTTACAGTGTAGTCTCCATTTTCCAGGCAAAATCCATAATAAGTCAGGGAAATGGGGGAAACACGTGCGGTCTTATACAGATCAGAATCAGTCATCAAAAGCCTAGTTTTATTTTGTTGGATATAGGACTGTACTATAGTGCTATTACTATCCAAGAAATGACCAGTGTTGCTAAATGCCCAGTTTTGTCCGTGCTCTTTAGATGTTGCTGGTCCTGCTGGATCTAAATCATCATCATATGTTATGCCTTCACTGTTTATCTCACTTCCACCACAGTTTATATGGAGAGAGTTAAATGCTGTTAGAAGAAGAAAAAGGTCAGAAATCAGAAACCATTATAAGGAGTCAAATTATATATATTGTTCCATTCTCCAAGTCTTTTTCTACTTGGTTTTGTTTCTTGAATGGAGAATGGAGGGAGTCAAAAGGACTTATTTAAGGAAATTCACTTTCTTACCTGTTTAACTCACTCTTGCACATTAGAGCTTGTTATGGTAAACAAATATGTCTACATGTTAAGTGGTTCTAATGACTTATTTATACCATCATGACATGCACGGTTATATGATTAACACTTCATATGATGTTTTGTTGAGTTTACCAAAGTCAAGTTCTCGGTTCTAGGTCTTACAACAAACTCTTATATTCAAGTATGACACTTCCCCAGGAGGACAATTCCTCCCTTTCCCTTTGTACCTCGGAAGATTTATGGGTTAACAGGTTCAATTGCATAAAAACAACAATTCTGTTTTAACAGTTCAGTTTACAGAAATAAATTCAACTTACTTTTAGAACAACCGTTGCTTGCCCTCGGACAATAAATGGGTCCCCTGGGGGAAAATATATTGAGGGAACATCAGAACTAGTCAGAACAATCAAAACATACACAACATAAAACATACAAGAGAAAGGAAATGGAAATGATATATATATTCATGTGTCATGTGTGTGTGTGAGAAAGAGATATAAGCGTTAGTTCTCGAAATATAAAACTTACTTATTCCCCGTTGGAAAGCTTGCAAACAAGTTCCTATGGCATATAAGATATGGTTAACAATCACACTGATACATGAAATTACCAAAAAAAAAAAAAAAAAGCTGCATGAATTCTTACACTTTTGTTTCTGTCGCCTGGCATGTCAATTGCTGGGGGTTTTCATTGCTGAAGTTGTTATATGAAAGATCTCTGTGCATAAATGTCAAATTCAATTCAAAAAGTAAGAGAAATCAAAGAGTCATTGAAAAAGTCAAGAAGATAATTGTAAAACAGAAAAGCTTTTCTTTCTTTTCTTTTTTCTTTTTTTGCGTTGTATTCCAAACTAAAACCTGTGTTGAAAATTCAAGTGCCAGTGAAGTTTCATGTTGGTTAATGAATTAAGTACCAACCATATATGTCGAAGACCATGAATTTATTGCTTTTAAGGTTTTGGATTAAGATATAATGTAATTTCCACTAATTGTAGTTTGCCCTGCATCTCCTCCTAATTAATGAAATAATAACTTATTTCATATGTTGGTAGGTATACAATGCTAAGTTGCTGACATCACCTTAACTCCATAAATTGTATGACAATTTAAAACAGAGAAATAGAACCAGTTGGTTGTTGTATTTCCATTGCCTCCAATAAAGTTTGTTATTTGATGATGTTCACGAGTTCAAAATTAGGCCTTATTGAATATTCATCTCCTTCCATGGGATCAATAGATAGAATTCATTAAACTTATCCTGTTGTAACTTTTATTTAATGTGAATCGCACATACTTGAACAAGTCACCAAAGAAAAAACAATATAAATTTTCTTCGGACGAGAAATTCAACATAATCAACAAGAATCATTAAGAGAGCTATTATAGAAGCCAAAGAACCAAGAACAATCTATATTATTTAATTCAAGGAAGCATAAAATTATCATTTGAAATTTTGAAAATATAATACTCACATGTTTTTTTTAGCTTTCTCTATCCACTTGGGCACTGGTCCAGTTAGTAAATTTCCTGTTAAATATCTAGAGAAATAATAAAAAGACCAATGCAAAAGAGGTGTCAATCAAACAAAATGATAAGTAAGCTACTCTTAGGCTGGACTAAATACGCAGAAAAGTTGAAATTCTCTTACAAGTAAGTCACTCCTAATAGCTGTTCAAAGTTCTCTGAAATGTTTCCACTTAATTTGTTATAGCTCAAGTCTCTGAAAGAGAAATATTATCCGGAATAAGTTAGGAAATGCTAAAGAAAAGAAACAATAAAACTTTTAAGAATATTTTTTAACATAAATGAACTGTAGAAAATTTTACAAATTGAAGCAAACTGAACATATTGGAAACAAAAGCAAATAAGCGCTTACAAGACTTGAAGTTCGTTGAAGTTTGTCTTGTTTTGAAGATACTGAGGTAGTGTGTCATTAATAAGGCAACTCCTTAATATCCTGTGAAACAATCAAATTTGTGAATTCTGCAACAAAACTAGGTCAATATCTCTTCATTTGGATATTGCACTTCTTAAATCAGTGCCATATTGAGGCACTGACACGCAAAGAAAAAATAAAATGAGAGCAACTAACTCACAATACATTCAATTTTGTCATGTTATCAACTCGAGGAAAAGTAGAATCAGGTCCATTCAAATCACTAATTCTCCTGCATTTAACATTATAAAGATGGAAGAATACAATAAGAAAGCAATTTAATTTTAAAATTATGGTTAACAAAGAAACTTTATACTTACAAGTCGGTTAAGTTTTGCAGAAATGAAACACCAGAAGGAATTGGTCCACTAAAACCACTCCCTTGAATTGCTCTGTCAAAATAACAAATTAACAATACATTTGCCACAGATGTAAAGATGAACAATATAGATATAATACAATTACATTTCAACCCCAAAACAAAATGGTTCTTACAGTATATTGAGATTTGTCCATTTTTGAATAAAATCAGGTATCTTTCCAGAGAATTGATTGTCACCAAGTCGGCTACATCATTTGAGAATAAACATGAAATAGTTACAATTAATTTAGAGCTAAAATAAATAACAGCAAAATTTAAAGCAACTAATGACAATAAAAATAGGAAGCTTACAGTTCTGTCAATGTTGTAAGTCTTGCAAAAGTTTCTGGTATCTCTCCAGTAAAGTTGTTGGAGGTAAGATGCCTATAGCAGCAAGAAATATTGAATATAAAGTGCAAATGAGTCTGTCAACAGTGATATTTAGACTATGCTTGTGTGTACCTAAAAATTAGGAAAATAATTTTTTGGTTCAACCAAATAAATATACAATCTCTTACCACCTCTTTTAGAATTTTGTGGGGTTTTAGAATCTCTTAGAAAGAACAGAGGAAAACGCCAAAAGACTGTGTTTGAATTGGGGTTTTCGCGGTGAACGACTCTGGCATGGCCAAAGATTGAATACCCACAACTCAAAATTGAAACTTTCTACTCTAATTTGAATGCCCATGATTCGATTTCTGGGTTTCGGGTTCTGTAAATTGGAAGACAAAGAAAACAAAGGAAACTCTGTTCTTTAATTTGAGTGTCCATGTCTCAAGTCTGTTCTTTATACATATAATGTTGCATCACATTTTGACTCTTATGTTACTCTCACATAACAAATGGATCCACTTTTTTTTCTTTTTAAATGAAACTCACATCAAATATATTATAATAATATGATATTAAAAATATCTTACAACATAACATATATAAAATTCATAGAAAAATATACTCTTATGTTATAGGAAAGTGTTTTTATCTCCTATACATACATCAATTTTCGTATTACTTTTTTATCTTTTTTTTTCTTCTATAAATGGGTAGGTCTCACACATAATTATCTTTATAACATGAGAGAACTCTCTCCTATTGTATGAAATTAATAAAGCCCAAAACCCATATACTAATATAGTATTTACATGCACCCAATAAAAACACAGCATATGTACTGTATCTATACTTACATAATTACCGTCCTCAATTTAGTACAATGAAAATGTGAAATTATTGATTTGGTGGATTATAACTCATTTATGTTATTCGTAAACTTTTTTTTAACTACTTTTACACTACAAAATTGAGTTGAAAGTAAATAAATAAATAAATAAATTCTATCAAACAACAATAAATAACAAATCATTTTTTATATTTTCACTCTCTTAGTACTTTGATGTTTCAACAGAAAAACTTAATCAAATGAATCAATAAAATACAGGGCTTACAGTCTTTGAATGTGAGAAAGGTTTCCCAGTTCTGGAGGAAGATTTCCAGAGAATTGATTGAACTCAAGGACCCTGTTCATTTTCAATTTAATTTATGATGAATATATCATAAAATTGAAAAGGGAAAATTCTCAATCTATGTGGATAACATAATACTCACAAACTTTCCAGTGTAGTGATATTTCCTATCTCTTTTGGAATTTGACCAGTTAGTCTATTTCCATAAAGAGAACTGTCATAATAATAGAAAATATATATTAGATTCATGTTTCATGGAATAAACATTTAAAAAAACATAAAAATCATACAAGCATAAAAGTTATTTGAGCAAAGAAAAAAGGTGGAGAAAGAAAGAACACATTTTGCGAAGATTGGAGGATCCCCATTCTTTAGGAATTGTACCGTTAAGATAGTTGCGAGTGAGGTCACTGTACCACATTAATAAAATCAAATAAATGAATCATAACTTCATAATTAGTGACACAGTTGAAGAAAAGAAACAAATTTATTGTCATACAAAGAAGATTAATTATTACATACATTTCTTCGAGGTAAGGCAACCTTATCAGTTCTGGGGGAAGCTTCCCTTGAAGATTTTCAGATTTCAGCAATCTGACCATTTATTTACCATAAAAAAAATTAGAAAAATTATTAGTTAAATTAAGTGAAACATATTTGTTATTCTAAATGACATAAATTTGTGTTATTTTAAATAAAATGAGCTTTGATATATATATATTTATTAATTTTTTATATTTTTTTCTCCTCCACAATATTCTCTTTTTTATTTCTTCTCCTACTTTTGTGGAGAAAAGAAAATATAAAAAGCTAACAAATACATACTAAAGCACATCATTTCATTTAAAAGAACACAAGTTATGTATTTAAAATAACAAATATTTTTTCCCTTAAATTAAAGTGTTTTCATCAGGGAATTTTTATACAAATTAAAGTGTTTTTAAAATAATTACTCACAAGTTTTTATGTAAAAAAAAAAAATAATGATAATAATTACAATGTCACAAACTTACTCACACAAGTAAAAGAGACATACATTATAATAACACGGCAAAAGTTTTCACCGGGTATACTGCAATTGCAGGTGACATTGTTCTGTACTGCAGTGTTCACCGAGGGAGTAATCCAGTTCCGTTGTCCGCTGCATGGATCTGCGTTGTTGAAGTCCCAATCCTTCTTACCAAGTGTGTTAGCTATATCTTTCAGAGCTTGCACTAAATATACAAATTTGAGGACAATCAGACAAGTACTCGTTTATCTTCAAAACTACACACGCATATATATCTTGATATAGAGTGTTTTAGTAGGAATTATGAGAGAGGAAAAATATTTACATTAAGATGAAATATTTGTAAAATAACAAATTCAACTCAAAAAGATAGATAAATGATTTTTATAGTTTATATTATATTTCTAACATACTCCTTTCGTGCCAAAAGCTTTATATGATTGAAGCATTGACAATAATGTAAGCCATGATATATTTTGAAGGGGAAAAATCCGTTTACAAAAATTTTTAAATTTTTTGTACAAATTACACTGTCTTCTTCTCGGAGAACATAGTGAAATTAGTGTTCTACCAGAAGAAAATAGTATAATTTGTAAAAATTTGTAAACAAAAAAGTTTATAAATATAAGTGCCCCTAATTTTAAAGCAAATATCGGTGGCTTTCTTTTGCAATCAGTAAGTTCACAATTTCCTCGTGCTCTTATTTTACTGTTGCAATCACGAGAAGTTGCAAAAAAAAAAAAAGAAATCAATTGGGAGATACTTAGCAGTATCCTATGGCTATAAATAGGATGCTTGTTAATGGTTTCTATCATCTCAAAAATTGAGAAGCAAATAATTCAGTGTCCAATTTGACAATACATACAAGCCCACCACATCAAGAGTCTTTTTAGAAATGGAAACATGGATAATTTTCATCCTTATCATGCCAAGAGCCTTTTTTTTAGTATTGAAGCATGGCAAACAATTCAACCAAAAATTTAGAGTAGTGGCTCAAACAAAACAGATTTGGATTATATGCATCATACCTTCGTCAGGATGAGTAGTGGCTCCAAAAGCAAGCGATGTGAACCAAATAGCAAGGAGTGAAAGGAAGAGAAATTGAGAGGATCTAGTCATTATCTTCATGCTAATTGAATATTGGAATGGAAAGGAAGTTCATATCAATTGGAAAGGAATAAAAAATATATCGATCCGTAGAAAGTGGTGAGTATCTACCGTGAGTTTGGAATTTGACATGTGAAACCTTCAGATTTTGGCAATCAAAGAAGACTAAGACAAAGTTGCTGACACAGATATTAGAGGAAGAGAACTATGGACAGGGTCCAATCCAATGAGATAAGGGATAGCGGATTTGAATAAATGCTCATTAAGACCTCAAACAAAACAGAGTCAACCATGCCGGCAAAGGTGGTTCTCATTTTAGGTGTAGGTCATGCATGACTTTTCTATGGTGGGACTAAACCAGGTTTAAGATAAACTAATCAAGCAATGACTTTTCTAGAATGCAATTGTTGGGGCTATAAAGCAATGAATGAGAAGACTAGTAAAGCGATCAAAATTAGAAAAAGTAAATAATAGTGGAAAGGGAAAAAAGAGAGGAAAAAGGGAAAAGTTGTACTTAAATATAAAATTTTGGAGTGACACATCATAACTATGAAAGTGATGCATGGACTTGTTCGTACCTCATGGCCAAACTTAGGAAAGTTCCATGCATCTTTACCAAGCTGAAGAGTCAACCAGAGTTGCATTCATGCATTATCTGTCATTCATCTGTCTTAATCATGTGAACCTTTCTATTCTACGGAAAATAATTCTGTTGTCCTTTTCTCTCTCTCTCTCCTCTCTCTTCTTTTTTCTTTTTTGTTTGATCGCAGAATAATTGCTCCTATTCTACAAATTAAAGAATTTTCAAAGACTACTGGTAATTAAAACTGCACGTCGAATAAAATAAAACTTGTCTATAGAATTGGTTTTTGGACCTTACTCATTCAACTGTATAAAACATGTCTATAGAATTGGTTTTTGGCTCTTATTCATTCAACTGTTTTATTCAACTATGTTATAATAGCTTCTCTATTAAAAAAATATAATATAAAAATTATTAATGGTCTTTCACTTTTCTTTTCTTTTTTATATTACTTATCTCCAATATACCCACTCACCCAAGAGTTTTTTGATTTTGAGCATAGATATTGCACATGTTCATTTTTTAGATTCTACCTTGTGCTGATTTTTTTTTATATACATATCTTGTGCTGATTTAATTCCACTAGAAAAGTGAGGACGGTGAGGATCGAACTTATGATCTCATAATCACGTTGATTCTTATATACTGATAAACAATCAATTCAACACAAAAGCTTAAAATTAGAAGTTAAGGCCCATTCATGGAATTTATATAATATTTCTTTAACAGATCCTTCTGTTTCGTCTCATTTTGACATCAAATATTAACCATTGATTTTCGTCAATCTAACGGTTATAATTTACTGAAAATTAATAATTAATTAATAAGTGTTACCCATTGAATTATACTAGTAAGAATCACAAAAATTACCAGTTAAGATTTAGCGTTAAATTTTTTATTAACAGTTAAAGGTGGTTAATGGCCGGAAATGGGTTTAACTACTTGACTAGTTCAGTAATTTTGCTCTGACTGGTTGAGTATGTCGCCGTTGAGATGTGCTTTCATTTTTTTATCAGATTTCAGTCTAGATTACAGATTTTATAGTATGTTTTTGTTTACCACTTGATGGTTGGTTTGTTCCTGTTCCGGATGGCTTAACCACATCCGAAGCCCAAGGGCCTGTTAACATGGATGGCCCAGTTTCGCAGAGCCCCAAACAGCCTAGGCCCAAAACCCCAAGTTACACACACGTCAGCCCTACCGGTTGGCCCTAGACGCCTGTCCCAAGGCAGCTCACCTCCCAAGGTAAGACACCAAAATGTTTTACCTTGGAACCCCATATGCTCTGCGGATCGCCCAGAGACCATAAGTGAAAACCGCCCTGTTGTCGCATGCTGACACCGCCCAAGAGCAGACTCTGTATCACAACAGTACCAGGCGTGTCAGCTCCTCACAACGAATCCCAAGGAGCGTTGACCTCCAATACGTAAGCCCTAACGGATCAGCCTCCAGGACTCCTATAAATACCACCCTTGGACACAAGGGAAGGGTATCTTTTTATGTACTGTTATTATGCCCATTTACTTCTAAGTCATACTCTTATTGTTTATCTGCCATTAGTATCTGCTTGCATGCTCTTGGAATAATACATTTTAGCCTGGTCTTTACCTCAGCTAGGGGTATTATCCATATAATAACATTACCCTCAAAGGGTACATAGTGGGCTCACAGAACTGAACGGTACATTGTGAGAATCTATAAACTTCTATTCTCATTCTCCTACCACTAAATACACCAGACACTTACCGTTTTCAAACTAACATGGTCGTCACAACAAGGCGAGCAGAACAAGTAAGGGCAGTAACTCCAGAAGGACACGTGCAAACTGTGCACTCCAACTCCCCCTTCTATGCACTCAATCTCAGCCAGGCGAGAAGCTGCTGAAGCCTTCCCCCCAGTGCTACAACCTGTAGACCTCCAGGTACCAGCGGACGATCGTGGAGCAGCACTCCTGAATCATCAAGTTACAGTACAGGAAATGCAAGGAGAAAACATAGTTGAAAACCAACCCCCACCCCCTGGTGTCCAATTTGGAATGTCTTTCCCTACCCCCCATCGTGTCCAACCGGCACAAAGCCAACCCGTAGCACTATATAATGACCATCGGGTCCCAACATACCCTCCCAGGCCTTATATGAATAATGTGGCCGCTCCTTTTCCCCCACCTTTTCCAAATGGCTACCCGTTTCATGGATACCCCTTCCACACTCATAACGCGGCCATCCCCCAACCACAGGGATCGGTCGCGAACCTTGGTCAACCCGCTGTCGAGGCCCACCAAGCCCCAGTTATCTCATACTCAGTCGAGGCCCCTCACGTACTTCGCCCTCCACCAGATTTACAGGCCCGTAACCCAGGCTTACTAACACCCCCTCCAAACACCTCAGGGCGTAATAAACCCCTGACTGATAGCCTACGCCTCACTCCTATTCCCCTTGGATTTAAGGGACCATCCAATATCGTTACGTACGTGGGTGACGCTGATCCATTCGAATGGGTACAGAAGTTTGAAGCGGCAATGACCCTTCATGGTGAAACAGACCTCCTGATGTGCAGAACCTTCCCAACGCTATTGGGCGGGAGAGCGTTAACTTGGTATACCACCTTACCAACAGGTAGTGTATCATCCTGGGATGATGTGGCAAGAAAGTTCCAGACCCACTTTGCCACCAGTCGCCCCGTACCAAAGTCTGTCCATACCTTGGAAAAAGTACGTCAACAATCCGGGGAAACTCTTAAGTCCTTTCTGGATCGCTTTGACAAAGAAGCCCTGCAGGTACAAGGGCTAGACCCAAAGGTGCAGTTACACATACTTTTATCTGGATTGCGTGAAGGAGCATTTGCCTACGAGCTTGCTCGTCACGAGGTTATAGACCTTGAAGAAGTCAAGCGTAAAGCTCAAGAGTTTATGCGAATCGAGGAGTACAAAGGAAGTCAAGCAGGCGAAAGCCACTACCAAGAAAACAGAGAGACTAAAAATCGTGACCTCCCAAGTATGTCAGTCGCCAACAAGGGCGAGACATGGCTGGACGTCATACGCATAGTGTCCTTCAGACAGAGTACAAGGAGGAGCGCAAAGATAGCCCAAGGCGTCAGCAGCAATCTCAGGGAAATGCTGTATACTGCAAATTCCACCGCAGTAACGGCCACAGTACCGAGGAGTGCAGGCATCTCAAGGACGAGATCGACGAGCTGATCAACAGCAGAGGTCAAAGAAAGGCGGGAAGCAATGCCCGAATCCCTGGAAACAATAGGCGATATCGAGAGCGTAGCTGGTCGCCAGATCGAAGAAGGAGCACCCAGCCTAGTTATCAAACTCATCGCGGGAGAGATCGCAGGGAAAGGTCTCCCCCAATCCGCAAGGCACGTGATAACCAAAGCAATAGAGAAAGGCCTGATGGAGGAGACGAAGATTCAGCAGCCATAAAACATGGAGTGATAAATATGATCTCCGGAGGGCTGGGAGGTGGTGGAGTAACAGTTAATGCCCGAAAGAGACACTTGAAACAGTTCCTAGCAGTGGCAGGAAATACCATCAGCAAAACAAATGCAGGTCAGGCCAAACCAAAAATCGTCTGGGACTTCAACGAGTTGGGCGACGTCCTACCTGGCCATGACGACCCCTTGGTCATCCAAGCAATCATCGTCAACTGGAGCGTCAACCGCGTATTTGTAGATCATGGCAGTTCTGCTGACATTTTGTTTTTTCCCTGTCTTAAGGCTTTGGGTTTTACTGTTAATGACTTAACACCAGTAGCAGGTGAACTTGCAGGTTTTAATGGCACAACCACCAAACCTTTGGGATTAATAAACTTACGATTATCTCTGGGAACACCACCTACGTCAAAGTCAGCCGACATTCAGTTCCTAGTGCTAGACACCCAGTCGACTTACAACGTAATCCTCGGCAAGCGAATGTTCGCCGCCTTTGAAGCAAGTGTATCCCACCCACACTTGGCAATGAAGTTTGTGGCAAGAGACAACAAGGTGGCGACGGTTAGAGGCGATCAAATGGTAGCAAGGAGCTGCTACAACATATCCATGAAACTTGCACCTAAAGTCACTCTCAAAGCCCAGCCAGCACCCCATATGACGACAGCCCAGGTAACAATTGATACCCTCACTGAGAAGGGTAAAGAGCTTGACCAGTGTCTCCTTGTAGAATTTGATGCGCGGGATGACCCTCGGATGGAGCATTCCAGGCCCACACCAGATAGAGCTCTAGAACACATAGTACTGGGCGAGAAGGACCAAACCACAACTATTGGGGCGTTCACCAACCCGGAGTTGAAAAGCAAGTTGATCAAACTCCTACGAGACAACAAGGATTTGTTCGCATGGAAACCATCGGACATGCCCGGCATAGACCCGGAAGTATGTTGCCACAGGTTGTCAGTAGACCCAAAAGCAAAGCCCGTTTCGCAGAAGAAGAGGAAGTTTGACCCTGATCGCCAAAAGATCATTGATGAAGAGGTAAAGAGACTCTGGGATGCCGGTT